TAAGATCTACAGAGAAGCGCCATCTCCTGGTCAGACCCTGTAAATCAGTGAAAGGGTGGAGTCAGAGTAAAAAATATGCTAGAGGGGGGGTCACTTCAGTGGCTGGAAGCTGGAGGGGATTTTGCTGGCGTTTGGCTATCTTGAATGGCTGCTACTGTATGAAGTCACCAACCAGCAGAGACCAGGTGAAGCCAGATAAACCCTCAGCAGACAGCTGATCCTGTTGGACGGAGAACTTCCTGCAGCTCCAGCACTGGAGTCTCAGCCATGAAGCCATACAGTGTTTCTCTCGTTAAATCGAACCAGAAATCCTGCCTCTTTACTCTGCATCTGATCTTTGATGTTTTCATTCTGGGTTCAGTTGCTTCTGCCTGCATCAGCATCCTTCTCACCTGGAGCCTCTTTCATTAAGACAAACCGTGATGGGACGTATGAAGCTATGATCATACATACGGATTTAGACGCCTTTCCTTTAAACATGCCAGTCGAAGGAATTTATCACACAGGAAAATATTTCCTCCCTTAAAACTTCACATCTATATAAATGCAATAATCAAACATCAGCTGTCGGTGGGAGATTCTCCAATCAGCTACTTCAGGAAGGAAAGAATGGAGGGAATGTTGGACAGAGAGCCTCCTAAATACAGACAGATTAGAAATAAAACTCCCTCCATCAATAAAACAGGATCCTCCTTTACCTGGTCAGCCATGACAGCTGCCTCTTACATCATCACACAGGTGATGCAGTCCTTTTGATGAGGCTGGGATCCTGTTCCATTTGCTCGGTAAACAGCAGTGAGAATTATGAATAAAGTGGAGCCGCTCTCATCCCCCCAACGCGTCTCCAATCATCCACAGAACGAGCGCCTTGCTCAGCGGCGCACTTGACATGCAGCAGGAACAAACCAGATTCATACTCACAACTTTTTGCATGAGTTATTGTCTTGATTTATTTTCCAGCATCAAATAAAAAAACAAGAATCAGAAAAAAACAATAAAAAAATAAATAGAAAGGGAAGAATAAATCAAACCTCTATGAAAACGAACAAATGAAAGTCAGACATTCTCAGCCGACAGGATTTTATAAAATAAACTGTCTAGAAAACAAATAGTTATTTTTCAGTCACTTCCTGCAGAGCCATGAAACATGCAGCAAAGCTTTAGCCAACGTTCCTCCAAAGTCTAAACCAACGGGCCTCTGCCTGCTTCTTCTAGTCGCCACACTAAGCTAGCGCTGACTTTCAGCTCTGCAGTCCTCCGTCCTCCACTGCCATCGGCGACATGGCGGGTCGTCAGGGACGCCACACAGGAAGGGTTCAGGAGAAGAAAGCAGAGAGCAAAGACGTCTCAGGAGAGGCTGGCCAGAAGATAATCTACCCTCCCTGAAACGCCACGCTCAAAGTCAAGGGCAGAGAGGAAAATGGGCTAGAAAATGAAAAGCGACAAAGACGTTTGGGTGCAGGACAAGGTGAGCGACTGAGGAGCAAAGACAGACGGAAGAGAAAGAGAGAAACAGGCGTTCCAGGAGAGAGAGGAGGAGAGAGAGGCTGGAGTCAAAGGGATAAACTGAAGCAGGCAGAGGAAAGTAATGGAAGTGGAATAGATGGGATAGATGGAATAGATGGGATTGGTTTGGACTGTAGCAAACTAAATTCATCACAAAGCGACAGTCAGGCAGCTGTAAGCAGCTTGCTCATGGGCAAGAGGAAAACCCTCAGCAGGGTTACTCAGACAGCAGGAAGTCACAATTTCTGAATAAGGAAAAGAAGGAAAAGAAGGAAAAGGAATAAACTTCATAGAAAGTCTGATCAATTCTTCTTTTCTGCAGATTATCAGACTTCAGCGTTTAGAAGTTTCAACTTTCATCTTTAATCCCAAACATTAAAGGACTGAAAACAAAGCAGCTAAACGTCTGCAGAGCTTCAACAATCATCAGGTTTTATTTGATTACATAATAAATTCACATTTTCCATCATTTTAACAAAGTCCTTCTAAATAAACCGTACATGATGCATATTCATCTGTTTTAGAAACAATATTTATTTTAAAGACATAATCATCACGTTTATTTATATCTAGCTTTAATGTGTTACCAGCAAATGTCTTTAATTCAATGAGTCTATGTTTTATATTAACCATGTTTATAAACAATATATGAATAATATCTGAATAAATAACATATTTACCCCTCCACACACAATAAATATAATAAATTTAAATAGCGTAACTCTGATAATTAAGCAATTTAAAAAAAGTTAAATAAATCAGCATGACATAAAACCAGATTATCATGCATTTTAAATAAATAATCCGTATTAAATGAATAATTATTCATCAATAAGGTTTATTTAACAGGTTTGTGTTAAAATGATCTAAAAAACAAAAGTTAAGATGATTTTCTTTTTTTTGTTTTTTTTCTTTTCTGATGATCCTTCTTTAGTTTCCTTATTTATTGGCTCTTCTCTGCTCATCTTAGTTTATTTCTGTTGAATCAAACTCAAGCGCAC